AATTTTATAAGATAAGCAAATCTTCTCACTGCTCTGTGATATTATGGATTATTTAGCCTAATTTTTCTTGTCAAATGTCCCTATTAGCTTTCGGTGAGTCCCTCTATCCATGGCCCTATTTGGGTTGCATTTTGTATATTCTTAGGAACTTTGTTCTTGGTATGATTTTGAAGGGTAGCAGAATATGCCACTCCAAAATACAACACTCTTGGCATAAGGATTATTTTGAGCTGAAGGCAATTTTAAGAAAAAGTAGATACAAGAAAAACTCTCTGCCTTTCCTCTATTTACCTAAAAGCAAGACATAAATTTGTAAAGGTGTTTCCCCTTCTCTCCCTACCAGGAAGGACAGAAGTTAATCACTGGAGACAACTCTCGACACTTCTCAGCACAGAGACCTCACCTGCAGAATTACATAACAAACCTTACTAACTAGTCCTTACCATCCATTAGTTTTCCCCCATATTTTTCCACAATTTGCCACCCCTAGAGCTCAAGCCCTTTTCTTTTGTCTTGCCACTTACCTACAAATTTATTATTCTTTTTCTTAAGATACTATTTAAGCCCAAGTTCTAACCACCCATCACTGAGAACTCCTGTATGAATGTAGGGTGCACATGTTAATACACACACTTCTGTTTTTCTTTTTAGTCTGTTTTTTTGTCTCTCTAATTTTTAGGGCCCAAGTCAAGGAATCTAAGATGGATAGAGGGGATTTTGTTCCTCCCCTACAGTTTCCAGTAACCCACTACAGATCAAGGGGGAGCATCTCGAAGCATACAAAAATGAGAGCTTTGGTTCCCAGGAGTCCTTTTTTTTTTTTTTTTAAAGATTTTATTTATTTTTATTTTGAGAGAGAGAGCACATGAGAGGGGGGAGGGTCAGAGGGAGAAGCAGACTCCCTGCCGAGCAGGGAGCCCGATGCGGGACTCGATCCAGGGACTCCAGGATCATGACCTGAGCCGAAGGCAGTCGCTTAACCAACTGAGCCACCCAGGCACACCCTCAGGAGTCCTTTATGCAAAGATAACCATCATGTGGGAGATTTAGCAATAGTAATCACTCATTCTTCCTTCCCTCTGAGATCTAACTAGTGAGGAAGTACAAGGAGCCAAAAGAGGATCAAAATACTGCAACCTTTATTAATAGCAAAGTTAATTGGGGAAATATGTCAGGACTCAAACCTCCCTCCCAGAACTTGGACTCTAACTTCACCCAATAAGATATAGGAGGAGGACTTGGAAATGAAATAGCACAGCTCTGGCTTGTCCTTGTCAAGATTTTGCCTTAATTCAATACCAACAGGTCAGTAATGAAGAGACTGGGTCCAGTTCCATCCATGACCAACTTGTCTCTTTTCCCATCTTATCTGTCAGATTAATCGATCTTCCTCTGATAGGGTACAGCAAGTAAGAAAGCAAAAATAGGGGTGGAAAGTGCTCAGTTCTTAATTGTTCCCTCCTGGCAAGTGGAACCAATTCTGTTCTTTGGTAGAGGTTGCTAATTGCCAACCAATAGCCATTCCTCCTTCTTAATTAGTAACAAAATCCTAATGTTTTTCCAGGATGGCAATGTCCTGAAGTTAAATGCTAAGTTGCGCTGTCTCCCTTGTAAGTAGGGGGTGGCTTAATAAGATGTCAGTGGAGATCACTCACTGACTAGGTAAAGCATCCTCTGCCTTTCTTTGTTCTTGTATCTTCTTGCTGCTTGGAATGTGGACACAGAAGCTCTAATAGCCATATGGAACCCATGATGCATCCGTGAGAATGAAGTCACTGCTGAGACAGAAGAGAAGAGAGAGTCTGAGTCCTTGCTGACTCCCACTGCAATATCATTCTTGGACTGCCTACTATTCTAGATGCTTTTTATGTTAGAGAAAAACAAATCCTTATGAGTTTAAGCCACTGCAGTCAGACTCATGTTATTAGCAGCTGAAGCAATTTTGTAAATGACTGATTTCATTTATGGAAGTGTGAGGGAAGAGAGGTAATATGTTTTTCTATCTAATACATGGGCTGAGGGCCAGGAATGAACCATAGTCACAGATATCCTCCCATCTGCTCCACAAAATATAGAGAAACACCTGACCTATCCCTCCCAAACTCTAACCAGAGGTACTCCTTGGACTCTCACTCCTGCTACTTGGTGTCTATCACTTATCTCTGTGCTCCCCCACCTGTTTAGACTGTAGAGAATGTGTAGATATCAAGAACAGTTTATTCTTTTTTATACTCCAAAACTATTTTGCCACCTAATCATTACATAATTCTATTTGGACATCAACATTGATAATATTTTTATATTTCTAATTTAAAACAGATTATAGATTATAATCATAGATCAAAACCAGAGTTAGGGATTTAAGAGTCACCATAAAGTAAATAGTTCTTGGCCAGAGAGGCTGGAGAGATGCCTTAGGAAGAACCAAGAAGAGAAGTGGACCAAGGACTGGACCGAGAGGAATCCCAACTTTAACAGTGCTTCTTAAAGGGGAAAACTTCTTTTGCTGAAAATCAAAATGTCACGATGTGATCAGGTGGCAGCATTTTGGTATTGTGGCAGAGGGATTCACTTGAGGACATCTGACACAGAGTATTAAATAAGGTCTCTCAGTTACTGTAAAGCAGAAGCTCCCAAACGTGTTCCTGGTTGTTGACCACTGAGAACCAGCAGTTCCTCAACACTGACCTAAAAGGACCAAAAGATGATTTATCCTTGTTTGTGAGAAGAGTGAAGGTCTTTGGAATTTACAAAATGTCGTCTTTCCTGTAGGAGCAATAAATGTCTCTTATCTGGCTGTTGCAAGAACCAGGAAAAGTACTTCTGAGGTTTGTCATTTCAGATTTTCAAAGGGACTGCTTTCTGAAGGATCCAAGCCCATGTCTCAATAAGTCAAACTTACGTTTTCACCTCTACTCACCCCAATGCCAATATGTAATGAGTGTAAGGAAGGATATTTGGGGGATTTCATGCATTTTTTTCATAATTATTCCTTTTCATTCATATCCTTACGGTTCTGATTTATTCCTTGTTCCTACTCATTTATGCCAATGGTAATTTTTTCTTTGTCTGTATCATAGTATACTTCTGTTATCTTTCCCTATTCTTGATTCTTTCCTAATATCCCAAGATCCCCACATACATAGACACAGACAGTCCTCTAGCGGGTAGAAGTTAGCTAAGCCCAAAGGACCGACAAGCAGTTGTTGAGTATGGCATTAACACAATTCCAATGAGTTTAATGTATGTAAGGCCTCAGAAGTACCCAAACATATGGTTTATACTCAGTAAATGTTACATATGATTATCATAATCTAGGTATAATCCAAGTATCTATTGGATTTTTCCACCTTGTTTCAAGATCTCCTCTCTTTAGCATATTTGAAGAAAATAGATTTGTCTTATGTCTCCTCTTTAGTTAGTTCCATGCTGCAGTGCTTCTTTATTCTGCTCTCAGCTCCATCTCAGTATGTCTTTCTTCTGGCCAAGATGTGGAACACTTGAGCTACCTTTCTTCTCAGTATGATGCTGCTGCTTCCACATGAGTGTCAGCGGAGAGGTAAATGTGAAGAATTAATTGCTCTTTGCTGCCTTGTTTCTCATACCAACACACATTGTACAACTATCTGATTTTATGGAAGAGTGGAGAATATAAGCAAAGCAAAGTACATCAACTCAGTACTTTATATGACTCTTGCCATATCCAGAAGAAAAGTACCAAATATTCTTCACAGAGAGTCTTCTCAAAGACACCCCAAGTTCTAGCCCTTACTCAGCCCCATTATTCTGGCCACACTGAGTCTCCATCCTCCCATCTCTGCACATGGGTTGGTCTGGCCTGAGATTTACCTTCCTGCCTACACTCAGGGCAGTTTATGAGGGTGTATTCCTTGAAATCTGAACTATTAGATATAGAATAGCAGAATCTTCAACAGAGTAGTACAGAGTGGACTCTGGCACTCAAAATCTGGATCACTTCCAAGTTTCCCTGCAAGTAAAAAGTGTAATATGACTCCTCTTTCTTCCTGATTCTCTAATACTTAACTGTAATACACACACACACATACACACCTACATACACATATTCCTAGAGACAATAAAATCTAAACCTACTTTAAAGAATAAAAGAATTTTCCTAAATGCCCCATAATGTACACAGCATCTTCAGGGCAGGATAGAGGTAGCAATTGACATAATCACATAAATCCATGGAATTTCTCCTTTGTTCTTGTTTTCAGCCTTAGCCTACAGAGACCAAGAAATTGGCCCAATTACAAAACCGCCTACGCCATGGTTACATTCCAAGCCCTAAGAGTTCTGAAACTTGGAAATGAAAGATTTTAGTTTTGATTTATCTTTACATTTCAAACCATGTAAAGAATTCTTGTGCAAGGCCTTCTCTTGTGTGTACATGTATGTATATGAGATGATTTATGATCTCTCTCAAGAAGCTGGGAGACTATCTTACCTATGGCACCAAGGTATCTACATTTGGTCTTTGGTAAAGCTGTTCCCATAACTGAAGAAAACAAATTCACTCTCTTGGACCCTCTTTAGCATTACTTGCTCCCTCTCCCAGCCAGAAATGTTGCTTGGACAAACCCATTTAGCCTACCAAGGAAAGGATGGAAGGCCTGGAGCCTCATATTACTCATCACTTGGGCATAGTATAGAGTCTAGTACACAGTGGACACTTAATAGATGTTAAATTGCATGCAATGGACCAATTTAAGTAGTACAAAATGGTATAATTCTCAAGAAGAGTATAAGCAAGAGACTTCCAATTTGTAAAGTGGAGAGAAGCCCCTACTTGAGAAAAAAGATGGAAAGTTCTGCACCTGTAAATAAAAAGATACTTGAGTATGATGCTTACCAGTAATTAAGTGATACCAACAGAACCATCAGAAGAGCACTCTTCTCAGGGTTTTACCCAGGGCGAATTTCACATCCTTATTCCTCAAGCTGTAGATCAAAGGGTTAAGCATGGGAACCACATTGGTTTAAAAGACTGAAGCAAGTTTATTCTGGTCCATAGATCCAGGAAAAGAGGTTGTTAAATAGGTAAATGCCCCTGATCCAAAAAACAAAGCAACAGCAATTATGTGGGAGCCACATGTGCTAAAGGCTTTGGACCTGCCCTCAGCAGGAGGAATATGGAAGATATTAGAGAGAATCAAGGCATAAGAAATGAAGATGCTGATACTAGATATTGAAATGACAACTCCCACAACAATAAAAAATACCAGCTCATTGACATGGGTGCTGGTGCAGGAGAGCTGCAAGAGAGGGAGAACTTCACACAGATAATGGTGGATGATGTTGGAGTTACAGAAGGTCAGTCTCAACATGCTTCCAGTGTGGGCTATGGCTCCAGCAAACCCTATCACATATGAACCAAACATCAACAGAGAACAGACCTGAGGGGACATGGTGACCGTGTACATCAGAGGGTTGCAGATAGCCACATAGCGATCATAGGCCGTTGATACCAACACATAGCATTCAGAATTGACAAAGAAACAAAAGAAAAATAGTTGAGTCATACATCCCACATAAGAGATTACATTTTCTGACACAAAATCATTCAGCATTTTGGGGGTAAACACACAGGCGTAACAGAGATCTATAAAAGACAAGTTGAAGAGGAAAAAGTACATTGGAGTGTGAAGGCTAGAATGCAGCCCAATTAAGGTGATCAAGCCCAAGTTGCCCACCACAGTAAACACATAGATCCCTAAGAACAGGAGGAAGAGGGGTAGCTGGAGCTCTGGTTGTTCTGATAATGCCACTAGGATAAACTCAGTCACTGAAGAGTTGTTTCTCAGTCATTCTCTTCCAGGGAGCTCTCTGTAGAAACAAGTGATAAAATACATAGATTGATAATAGGCACAAGCATGACTGATGGAAGACGGCTCTAGAATATGAACCAGTGCATGGATGTCCTACCTTTTCACTCTCTTTTCTCATCTATGCCCCCTCCCCTAGTCAAGTTGTTGACAATGTTCCTGTGACTATATCTCAGCTCCCCTGGGCTAGAGTGTGTTCTTGGGCACAAGAATTCTGTCCCTCTTGAGAGGTGAGGAGGTGAAATACCTGCATTGATTGTCCAAGAACTATCAGAAGGACACCCCAAGAGCCAGGAATACAACCTGAGCCCACAGGCTTAGGCTCTGAGAGAAAGGAGCTCTCACGTCCCCCATTGTCTCCACCCATTCTCTGCCTCCCTCTCCCACTCTGGAGAGAAAGCCAAGAGTGTCCCCTACTGTCTCTACACACCCTACCTTCTTCCTCTAAGCCCCTCACTCCATCTCACATTTAAGTCAGTGTTGAGAGCAGGGAAGGGATCAATATATTCTAGATGTCTTGGTTGTGGGTTTAAAAGAAAGCCATCAGGGAAGATGGGATTCAGACATTTACTTTCCTTCTCCCTGTCCCCACTCAGTGCTGGACCTTATGCAATCTTTTTTTCCATTAGCCCAAAGGAGAAAATGGTGTTCATGCATAAAGCAGGCAGCCTCTAGTGTTTAACTATTCTGATTCCCTCAGTGCTGAGAATCAGACCTTTTACAGACCCCAGTCACCAAGGTGCTCTGGGAATAGACTAAGATTTCTGTTTGTGGATTTTTCCAGATGGTCTACACCAACTTCAGGAGAAAAAAAAAAATAGCAACTCTCATTTTTACCAGAACCTCAGCTGGCATATCAGAGAAGTTTATGCTACTTGATGATCTCAGGGGTCTGCTTAGACAGAGTTTCCCCTGGAATTTCTCAGAGATTTGTTTCTATAAGGAAGGAATTGCACCATCTTTGTTTATAGTCTGGATTACCTAGCATCTTGGGACTCAGGTGTTCTACTCAAACTTCCCTATTACTCCAGGGATTTCATGCCATTCACTGCTGAGTGTGGGGCTCATCTTTCTTCTCCATTAACTCTTGGCACTTAAGCTTGACTTTAAAGGAAAATGGCCTAAAACTTATTTTAGCCACCATTTCCAAATATTCCAAGGGAGTTTTGCTATGTAGAGAGCACCTCAGACAAAATGTTTCTAACAGCCTGAGCTGCTCAGAACAGTGGAGACACCACACCATCACCACCACAAACACCACCTACCCTCAGCTCTATTAAGGGCCACAGACACGCCTTTGCTATATATAAGGAGATTAAAATATAACAACACATATGCAAGGAAGCACACACATACACCTGCATAAAGTTACTCTATGGATGTGTGCCGGCCGAGATGTAATAGGAGATGTACCTAAATGTTTTAATCCTGTCATTCTCCAGATGATAAAGCTGCTCTCCATATGATCTGCTAAATGAATATTCTAAGAAACATTCAAAGGCATGTAAGCAACTGCATTTGTAAGTTAACTGAGGCTGCCTAAAATAATCCCAGTTTTTCTGGAATAGTTCTGATTTACATCTATTATCCCTGTATAATTATTAATAGCACACTCTCTCACTCTCAAAAATGTCTGGATTTGGATAAGAAATTATATGGTCACCCTACTGAAAAGAGCATAAGCAGCTATTCAGGTCCTCTGGTCCCTACTTCTCCTAGACCCACTGACCTCCATCCCCATTCTGACTGAGGGAGTATCTCTCTGTCTTTTACCCTCCTTGCCCTCAAAGTTCTCCTTAACTGAACCTACTCCTCCTGACCAACCAATATTATATCTTCAGTAGACTTATTTTCAAAAATGGGAAGGGCACTTGCTGCAAGCTGTTTCTGATTTATACCTACCCAAAAACTCTAAAGCAAAGAAATACAAACCCTAGCTACCTGTGTAACATAGGTGGAACGGGAATAGAGGGAGAAGAATTATGTAGGTACAAGGATTAAACATTGGTACAATTTTACATTGTAACCATTGGTATAATGGTACAACATTGTTGAATATCATTGTTTATGGTACAATAAATTGATTAGTAATATTTAACAAATTTGGACATATACATATGTCAATTCTACTCCTAGGTGCATACCCAATAAAATAAGTACACATGCTATCTAAAGACAAGAAGTGGGGGCGCCTGGGTGGCTCAGTCATTAAGTGTCTGCCTTCGGCTCAGGTCATGATCCCAGGGTCCTGGGATCAAGCCCCGCATCGGGCTCCCTGCTCCGTGGGAAGCCTGCTTCTCCCTCTCCCACTCCCCATGCTTGTATTCACTCTCTCACTGTGTCTCTCTCTGTCAAATAAATAAAATCTTTTAAAAAATAAATAAAATAAAGACAAGAATTTTCATAGCACCATTATACATAATAACCAAGAACTGAAAACAACCCATATGTCAATCAACTATAGACTGGATAATAAATTGATATTAATAAAATAGAATTCCATATAGCCATGAAAGTTAATAGCATAAAGATCACAAACCTATTATGAAGCAAAAGAAGCCAAGCACAAAAGAGTACATACTTTATGATTCCATTTATATGAATTTCAAAAATAAGGAAGCTAATCTGTGGTGTTAGAAGTCAGATAGCAGTTATTCATACTTGGTCTGTCAGAGGCTATTGACTGGAAAGGGATATGAAGGATGCTTCAGGGTTGTTGACAATGTTCTGTTTCTGATAGGGGTGCTGATTACATGGATGTGTTCAATTTGTAAAAATTTATCACGTGATATCCTTATGTTACACTTAAATGTTAAAACAAATTGAGAACAAAAGCAATATTTTAATAAATAATCCTGACAAACTACTTCAACACTAAAATTACTAAGAATCTTTGAGCCATTATTCCCTAATTTGTAAAATGGGAATTTATTGACCTAACAACTCAGTATGGTAGCACACGCAAAAAAAAACACATCATTTTTATTTTTCATTCATCTTGTGTCTCTTAGAATAAAACTCCCTTTATTTCTTATATAAAGGGAGAAAATCAAGCGGTAAAATAATTAATGTATATGGAGCAACTATAGGGTGCCTGGCATTATGCCATTATGTTGGATGTTTTCTGATGTAATATTTTATTTATAACAACTATACAATGCGCATGTGTATGGAAGATTGTTTTGTTTTTTCCAAAGATGGCCATACCTCTGTATGCACATGCGTGCGCGCACACACACACACACACACATCTGGCATCCCACATGTTCTTGGTACAGTAGGACTGACACTCCTCAAATAAAGAGATGGGATCTATGTTCCCTACCCTTGCATCCAGGCAAGGATTTGGGATTTCTCCAACCAAAAGAGCATGGCAGAAGGGATGCTTTGTGACTTCAAAGGTTCAGCCCTAAAACGGTACAGCTTTTACCTCCCTCCTTCCCTCTCTCTCTCTCTCTCTCACTGTCCCCATTCCCCCCTTTCCACTCTTATTTCTCTTTTGTCATCCTCTAGCCTTCAAGACAGTTATATTGCAACCCCCCGGCCTTGTCTCAAGATATACTACAGGACAGCAAGTTTATGGTCATTTACCCAATATTAAGGGGGTGTAGAAGCCCTCTAGGACCTGTATGTTAGTTGATAGACATCAGGGGAAAATACTCAAGGGAAATGGCCCAGGGAATTTTTAGTACAGGTTTGAATTACTTAGTCCAGTTCCCCCTTACTCCTCAGAAAATCTCCTTTTGTTTCCATATTAGATGTTTCTCGTTTATTTTTATGAAGAAAATAGGTATTTCTTTTTAGTATAATTTCATATCCACTGTATTTCCCCCTCTTGAATAACAGTTTAGCAGATGTGTGGCAATGGCCCAGCAATGAAAGACTAAGAATTATCTCTGTTCATTAGAGTAGAAATCAACTTACTCATTTATTTATCATCCAGTAAGTATTAAGGCCAGCTATTTCCAGCACTCTTGCAAACTTTATACTCAGACAAATCTCCCCTGATAGAACAAAACTAAGAATTCTGGGTAAAATATAAAAATCATTTATCTATTAATGTTTGAGGTGGCAGAAACTAAGTGAATTCCTGTGAGAGCAAAAGATAAAAGATAAAGTAATAATTCAGAGGGATACACAGCACTGGACCTGGAGTTTACCCTTGGGGAACTAGTAGACTCCCTATGGCCCAGAGTTGGGTTTTAATTGAGTTGCCTATGCAGAACATAAGAGATAAATCCTGGGATAAATCCTTTCATGACTAAACCTTAGAAGCCTGGGAGTTTGGAACCATTATTAACTTGTAATACTGGATCTCCAAAAGGAAACATCTTCCATGGCTAAATTAGAGATATTAAAAAAAAAAAAAAACCCACATAGGAAGAAGGCAAAGATATGTGTCTAAGTTGTCCTTGGCTCTGGGAAGAGAAAGAGCTAAAATATCCCCTGAGAACTTCTAACAACCTATGCATTTCAAGCAAAAAAAAAAAAAATCATATTACAAATATAACAAAAAAAAATATCCTCTCCGGAAAATACAAGTTAGCTCCAGATATCAAAGAATTTCCCCAGATAACTATCTGGGGATCATGAACTCTCAATGAAAAGCACGAACCAAACACAAAATAAGCTACCAGAAATGAAAATCATCATTAATGATAAACCACAAGCTACAGGACCAGATCTGCAAAATTATTAGGCTTATCAGGGACAGAATACAAAATAATTTATTTCATGTGTTAAAA